TGGAGATCTGTGAATATCTTAAATGGGATGCTTTATGCCTGGACCCAAATGCCTGCTGATAAAGATAATTGCAGGAAGGCAGATCTCTGTGCTTACCTAGGAGAGAAGAACAAGGCATGGTAGTGGAAAACCCTTTTCACTAAACAGTTCTGAACTGTGAGAAATAATTCCCAAATACGTAACAGAAAGGGAGTTAGCTACAGCAAAAAAAAAAAAAAAAACTACAGCAAAGGACAACTACTTTATTCACAAAGCAATAATGCCAAAAAGCCTTACTGTTTGGTTTAGTCTTTATCAGATCCCTTGGTTCTGATAAGTTGCTTCTGAAAAGATGGCTGAGCAATTACTGTATAATGTTGCAGCTTGTAGCAAAAAAAAAAAAAACGTGAAGGGAGAAGAAATGTGCTCATCTTGCAAAGCATTCTTTCAAAAAAAATTCCTAAAAGTTTTTGTCAAGTAATAATGATGCTAAACTTTGAAGACTAAGTTTCTCTCTTTTCTGACCGAGTTATTTAAATACCAAAGATTGCAATATTTATTCTTTATTTTAACTGATAAATGGTGCTATAAATTCTATACTTAGAGTGTATTAGGCACTAATTTACAATTGCTATTGGGCAGCAAAGGATCAAGGACACCAAAATTAAGATTTAATCCAAAAAAATCTAGCAACCTCGTTTAGCACACTGCTGCAACCCACATGACCTTAGGGGGGAGGGGTGCACCATCACCAGAACTGTCAACAGAGAGACAAAATGCACTTCATGTCCCACTTTCTTCTGTTTCACAGAAGAGGAGTAATGAATATAAATTGGGTCCAGTTTGATTTGGAAATTCTTTGCTTAAATAATTGAGCCATTGATTATTTCAGGGACATAAATTAAGTCCTCCAATTTAATATCATCAAAAACTGAAAATTATAATACAAAGGAGATTTCCAGATAACTTATCATTTTCTTCCGTCAAATTACCTCTGCCTACAAGTCTTTCTCTTTTCAGTGAGGTGTTTATTAAATGACTAGAATCTGCTTTTCTTTAACTGCTTATAGAAACACTTCCAGATTTGCCACTCGTTCAACCTTTGTGATTCAAAAACAAAATGAAAATTTTTGTGAATAAGAGTGTTTTGGATCCCTCAGTAGCATTCTGTTTCTTAAGTGAGTTGGGTAAGAGTCTTGGAGATGAAATGTCTTCTAGACAACATCAGTTCAGACCCTTTGTTTTCACTTTTTAGAGCATTTAAGGATTTCATAAGTGCGCGGGAGGGTCAATTGGTGCAAGAAGAGGCTTTGAAGCAACCCAAAGTTGTCTAGTGGTCTTTAGGTAATGTGTGCATATTAACATCCTACCTACACTGTAGAAACATGAATGTTTGCAGAATACAAGGCTGCCTCAGGGACCGTCATACAGTATGCCACACACATATTGTCCTTTCCACCATTCCGATCTTTCTGGTTTGTAAGATACCTTGCTTTGGGGTGGAGGTTATGAGCTAATCATAGAAGATGTGGGATAGATGTGCACAGTGCCCTGGCAGTAGGAATCTATTTATCCAGCAAATGAGTCGTGAACACAAATCCAGGACAAGAAATCTGGCGGGAGAGGCTGATAAGCACCAAGCTGGCTGTCATTTCAAGAACAACAAAACTGAGGTGAAGAGAGGATGTGCAATTTGTTTGAGCTGTCCAAGCTGCAGGTAGAGGGTAGTCTGGCTTCAGAAGCCATGGTTTTAAAGGTAAAAGGCAGCAGTCATGGCAGAACAAGGTTGTGTGCCTGGAGCAAACACATGAGGGCCCTGTGAAATTCAATACCTCTCCATCCAAAAGTCCAAGCTTTAGGGAATTTCCGGTCAGATTCATGTTCTTCCAGAACAAAACTGGAAAAAAAATCTGCTTTTCCTGAGGAAAAGAAACTCATCAAGAAAAAGAAATCTGAAAACTGACCTTACAAGTTTCATTTATCAAATTCTGCCTTTCGGCCTTGCTCACCAAGGTTACGAGTGGCTATTCAGAACCTCTTTTTTTATTTTTTTTTTAGAAAACAAACCATATTTTTTTTCCTTTTACATACCAATTCCAGTTTCCACTCCCTCCTCCCCTCCAATTCCTTCAACCTATCCCCCCACCACCACATCCCCCTTCCACTCCTCAGAGAGGTAAGTTTTGAAAGAAGGGTTCATTAGTCTGCACTTCATTTCTATAACAAAATACCCGTGCTTTTATAAAGAACGAAGGAAAAGAGGTTGTTTATCTCACAGTTTTCAAATCCAAAAGTCTAAACAGCATGACTCCACCTCTAGCAAGACCCCATCTAGCTGTGTCTATCACCTTAGTGCAGATGGAATCATGGTGAGAACACAGGCGAGAGGGAACAAGGAAAGCGAGGGAAATCCTGAAAACTCTCAAAGACCTGACCTCCTCCCATCGGGCTCATCCTTTTATTTCCTCGCATTCCACATTGGTGAGCAAGCTCCCAACACATGTGCCTTGGGGTAACAGACCTTAGTCACATCCAAAATAAAGCATGGAGGACTCCTAGATGACCAGACATAGAGTGGAACACTAAGCATGAGAGTCATCAAATTGTACAATGAAAAGAAAGGAATTCAGACAGGGCGGATAAAACATGAGGAGTATAGAAAGCTTCAAAGGATACAGATGGCATCAGTACACTCAGAGGTAAGGAAAGAGGCTGAAAATGATGTTTTAAAAGAAATGACAAGAAAAGGTGCACTAATTCAGTTTAACAAAGTTGGGACCATCTTGAGCAGCTGGTACCCAAAACCAGTCTTAAAGTAGCACTATCAGCATCATGATGTCCTATCAACTAGGTGGAATTCTTGTTGGGCTGCATCTTCTTCCTGAAACTTCAAATATTACTGTAGGAAAATCTACTGTTCATTGTAAAAAAAAAACTTAAAGATTATATGGACATATATTCAATGAAAGATATGATATAGACAAAATAGGTATGGAGAAAAGTAAAATTTTTCCTGAGATCTTTCTTTTTTCTGTCCCATATTAATGACTTCTAACATGAAAAAGAAACTCTGAATTTTTCTTTTAACAACATGCTTGGATTTAGAGAAGGATGGCTATTGTCCAACTTCAAAGCCAGCTTTGATTTGTAAGTGAGTTTTCTACTGGGAATATAATGTATATAATATATATGTGTGTGTATATATATATATGTATACAGAGAATGTACATATGAAACTTTAAGTTACAGATGACCTGTCCTCAAAAGTCACATTTCTCTTTGTTCATTGATCCTTTCTGAATAGTTATCTTTTCCTCTTTAGACATCCAAAGTCCAAGGTATCTTGGCTTTTTGAAGATGTATATTTTCCTGCAAAGACAAGAACAAAACCCTGCCCTAACTCTTATGAGGTTTCCTTATCACCCATACAATTGTCGCTTCTGTGGATGAGCTGTTATTTCTCTGTCTAAAGTGGTTCCTCTTTTCAAATGGAATCTTTATTGATTTTGATAGTACCCATAGTTTTTTTTCTCCTGTGAAAACAAGAACAAACCCCCTCCCCAATGTAGCACATCTTCTGGTTTCTATCTGAGGTCAATACATCCTTGAAATACACCAGCTGATTTAATTCAGAAGTCTTTTCTATTATCCTACGTCTCTCTGCTGGCTTTGTTTCTTTCTCATTAATGTTAGGAAAAATCAAGGTTAATAAATCATTATGCAATCTAATTCTGGGGTAATTTTCCATCCCTTTTTGTGTGTTGAACATGTCCTGTACAGTTTGATTTAACCTTTCTATAAATGCCTGACCTGTAGGATTGTTTGGTATATGCTTTATATTATAATAAGGAAAAAACAGTTACATTTTCATAGAGACATAACTGGACCATTGTCTGTCTTTATTTGTGCAAGAGCATAGCTCTTGCATTCAGTTTTCTTTGTTTTACAAGGAAAAAGCCCCTTTTATTCTATGGAGCATTTTAATAAAGAATAAATTTTAAGTTGAATTTAAGGTTTTTCATTGAAACAAATATTATCCGAGCTCAATATACTTATGTTTGCCATTTGTAGCATGATCAATAAAAACTGAGAAACAGATATTGGAGTTCAACCTGAAGATCAGAAAAGCAAAGCAGCTAGTCCCTGGCGTTTACCTCGATCTCAGTCCAAAAATAGTGATCCTGCCTCCAGGAGACTGAGAGTTATCTTTCCATTTCATAATCCTCTGTAGTTCTGGGATTAAGGCCATGCACCACTATTGCCTAGTTTCTATGGCAAGCTAGTGTGACTATGGGACTTAAGGCATGTGTAATTATGGCTACTGAGATTAAAAGTGTGTGTCATTGTTGCCTGATCTGTAAGGCTGACCAGTGTGGCTGTTTTACTTTTCTGATCTTTAGGCAAGATTTATTTATTAAAATACAAATGAAATTCTACTATAGCCATTCACAAATCAAATGATTTTAGATTATTTTTTATTTTAAATTACTATTTTATAACTGGAGATTCATATTATTATAAATTTATAAATTCTTTAAAGATTTCTGTGTGTAAGTAAGAATGTGTGTGTGAAGAGGCATGTGTATACATGTGTGTGTGTATGTGTGGCAGGGCATGTCCATGTAAGTGTGTTGTCTGCAAAGGTCAGAAAAGAGTGATATATCCCCTAGAGCTGGAGTAACAGATGCCTTACTTGGGTGTTGGGAAACAAACCTAGGTCCTCTAGAAGAACAGTATGCGTTCTTAACTGCTGAACCATTTCTCTAACTCAAAATTTATTATATAAAGGCAGAATCTGAATGGTGAGTTTGTCAAGGGTACCATACAGAACTTTTTTATAGGTTTTCAGTTTTTCTTACCTATTGAATACAAGAGACCAATTGTATAATTAATTTAAAGATTTCTCTTAATAAATAAAACACGTTCCCTTAAGCACAAAAGTAAAGAAACACTTAACTTAGAGCTATGAGGCAACGCCTTTCAGACTATTGAGGCCAACGTGCTTTTGTTTTCCTTCCTAGGGGCACTGCAATTGCCGGTATCGTGTTTGGAATTGTGTTCATCATGGGGGTCATTGCAGGAATTGCCATATGCATCTGCATGTGCATGAAGAATAACCGGGGGACCCGTGTGGGTGTCATCAGAGCAGCCCACATCAATGCCATCTCTTATCCTGGTAAGCAACAAGGCTAGCTTTTGAAGGATGGAACAGGTTTCTTAGGCTCTATTCCTTCAAGAACCATTAAAAAAAAACTCTCACTGAAACAATGTCAGATTTTCAGAACATTCCCAAATAAGTATAGATTGAAGCTGTGGCTTTGAACAGAGATCTGAGTAAAAAAGAAGCAATTCATCTTATCTCTAAATGTAGTCATACTCTCAGTGGCTGTGTCATTAACGGCAATAGCTAGTCAACCAGAATTAAGATAAATAGAAATTTCACATCCACTGTGTCTACCTGGCAATGAGTTCTGACAAGTAATTATGGAGAAAACGTGCAATCTGTCTCAATAAACTGGTGTTGAGGCAGTAGGTACATATGCCTCTCGGAAAAGTATTGAAAAAAAGTTCTTAGAGTCCTCATTAAACAAAAAGTACAGCTTCCACATAATAAAATCCTCAATAAAGAGAAAAGGTTATACATTAATAATTTGACAAATATGTGTTGAGAATCTTCTAGAAGTTCTACATATAAATATATTGAGTGCAGAAGATATTACATACAAAGCCCTTAATCTTGAGTTAGACAATCTTGTTAGTGTTTCTATATTAGTTTGTATATGTACCATACAACATAGAAAAGGTGGCAGTTTCATGAACTCACAGCAACTGTAATTATCTGTTCAAATTCTGATATAGATGATTAGATGATCTCCAAGCTACGTCCCTTGCTGAGGAGCAACTGGGAATTGATAGATAGGAAGAACCATTCTTCTCTGAGACTGCAGCCACATTTAAGTTTCCCATATCCATACACATATGAGCAGCACTAGCTGGAGTTGAGTAGACGTGACTATTTGAAATTGGTTCCAATAGTCTCATAGGCAGTGACACTTCTAGGAGATGTGGCCCTGTGGGTAGATGTGGCCCTGTTGGAGGAAGTGTGCTTTAGGGATGGGCTTTGAGGTTTCAGATGCTCTCAAGTCAGGCCCAGTGTAACTCTCTCTATCCCTACTACCTTCAAATCGAGGTACAGAACTCTCGGCTACCTCTCCAGCACCATGTCTGCCTAAATGCTGCCATACTCCCCACCATGATGATAATGGACTAAACCTCTGAACTGTAAGCCAGCCCCACTTAAATGTTTTCCTTTATAAGAATTGTTGTGGTCACAGTGTCTCTTCACAGCAATAGAAACTCTAACTAAGACAGTAGACTATCAGAAAAAGATGAAAAGAATTGAAATTGGGAAAGGGGCATGTTGGGAAGATGTGGAGAAACTGGAGGAAAAAAGAGTGAGTAGATGCAATTATACTTTTTGTATACCTGTGTGAATTAAAAAATAATAAATTTATAGAATGCTCAACAGTAAAAATATAGTGAGTAAATTCTAAATTTGATAACTTTGTAGGATATTATTTTCACATCCATATTCATGTTCCTTCTACCAGTCCATTTAATAAAGGAACAACACAACGTACCTTCTAAGTACATCCACTTCCAATCCTTCCTTTATCTTTACCCTTTTCTGCTCAACTTGAAGAAACACATTTCAGATGGGTGTAGGAATAACCTCTCCATTTGTCCTCTCTTCTCTAGTATCCACTCACTGTTGTGTCTTCTTCCACTTATCTACCCTTATTTGGTTGGTCATTCACGCCACATGTTAAAACAAATTGTATGATAATGCTTCCCAGAGTCACATATCTCCATTCCCAAACTGCTTTTATGCCCTTATGATTTATTTTATCTCAGTACTTGCTCATTGGACATAGACTATCTAGTCACTACACAGAAATTTTCTCATCTCTCTTATCTCAAAGCTTTGCCTAAAATTTTGGCTTGCTCACTTCATTCAAGACTTAGATTAAAGGTCAGTTTGCCCTTTCTCACTCCAGCATCTGACTCTTTGTTCTGATCCACTTTTTCCCCATGGTACTTTTTGTCTTCTAAGAGACCATGTGTTGTACTTTTGACTGTCCATCTCCTTCTAAATTGTTAACTCTATTAGAAAGGGATCTTGATCTATTTCTTTTATATCTCAGTCTGAAACATGTGAAACAAGACTGGACCCACAGTGAGGACTCAGTGAACCCGACCAGTGAACTGACACAATTCACAAGACTTGATTTTGTCATTTGTCAATATCCAGAAAGCTGACTTAAAGCTCTGCTAGGAATATGTAGGTTTTACTCACTAAAAAAAAGCATTGTGAATTCAGATATTCCCTTTATGCCAATAATATTGCTGTGGATAGTATAAATATATGGATACTAAGAAAACTTAAAATGAACTACATTTTATTCTTCACTCTCTCCATCAGTACTCCCCTCCCAGGCCAATCTATAACCCAGGAAAACAATGGAAAGTCAAACAGAGACATTAATTCAAGAGAAAGTAGAAACTGTTTTGCAGGTAGACATTTTAGGCACACATTGGCTTGATCAACAAAGGAAGACACGATTTAATTAATGTTCATTTTAAAACAGTGTCCGATTCAGTATTCTATTGCTGTGAAGAGACACCATGATGGCTGGAGCTCTTATAAAAGAAAGTACTTAATTGGGTCTTGCTTATACTTTCAGAGGTTTAGCCCATTAGCAACACGGCAGGCAAGCCTGGCAGCATGCAGGCAGCAGGGAGAGCAAGTCACTGGGCCTACCTTAGATGATTGAAACCTCAAAGTTTGCCCCCAGTGACACACTTTCTCCAGCAAGGCCACACCTGCTCCAACAAGGCCACGCCTGCTCCAACAAGGCCACACCTGCTCCAACAAGGCCACATTGCCTAATGCTTTCAACTAGTGCCACTCCCGGGCAACCAAACATTCAAATAGATGAGTCTATGGGCCTTTTCACATCCAAACCATCACAAACAGTTTACGGTATTCCATGAAGCATTTTGTATTTTGTCTTTCTGCAAATTGAAACTTGGAATAAATTGTAAGATTTAAAAATGTATATTTTTATCCATGTGCATTGTGTAGAAAGAGTATTAAATGTCCATAAACACAAGTGCCACAGAGGCCAAAGGCTCTGGATTCCTTGGGTGCCTCCGGACATGAGTGCTGGGAATCACCATTTGGAGCCTCTACCACTGAGCCATCTCTCCAGCACCGACATCTTAAGACAATTTTGAGACGTCATTTTAGCACAGAGGCATGTGTTTGTTTCTTGGGGTTTGAGGCATCTGTTTTGTGCTTCATTTATACTAAAGAATCACAGCTCCTTTGTGTGTGCCCCTCTGAGGATAACACACTTCCATACATGTAATAATGCTCTGTCTGGAGGTTCACAGCCTGAGTCTTAGGATAAGAGAATATCTAGTATCTAGCAATATCAAGTGGAAGAGCATTCTTGTTAAGGGGTTGAGGGGTGAAGCAATCACTCTGTAAATAGAGTGAATCAGAGAATTACTGGGGGATTGTTTTATTTTATTTGTTTATTTTTAATTCAAGTTTCTGCAAAATGTTTGCAGGGACCAGTCATTGTTTGCATATAATTTCAAACCCACTATGATTGGTTGATTAACTGAGGTACTCCAGCTGAGATTCTGATCCTAATTGTTATCCAGCCTTCTGGAACATTCTGTGGTTTTGGTTTTTAACAGGTGTGAGTGCAGTCATCTCCCTGTTTCACAGTTCCAGAGAGTCTGAGCTTTCTTCTTGGTTCCCCAAATTTCTTTCATGCTCCATAAAACTGCCAGCCAATATTCTTTAAAAATCCCCTGGAATCACTGACACCTCAACACTGGGTGCTAGAGAGATGGCTCAGGAGTTAAGAGCACTGGCTGCTTTTCCAGGGAACTGGGGTTTCAATCCCTAGCACCTGTGTGGCAAATCACAGTTCTCTGTAACTCCAGTTGCTAAGGAACAAATGCCCCCTTCCAGCCTCTATGGGACTCTTGTGGGTCACAGTCATTCATGCAGGCAAAATACGCATTTACAGAAAAAGAGAAAGAAGAAATCGCTGCATGCACTTCCTCACTCACACCACCAAGAGCAGCCATGCCTAGCTCTTTATGTGGAAAGCTCTTGTCATGCTTCCTTAGAAACCACACACTCATACTAAAGGAATTTTCTGGGCAGGCAACTTGGCTCTGTAGGTAAGGGCATTGGCCATATAAGCCTAATGACCTGAGTTTGATTCCCAGGGTCCGAGATGAAAAGAGAATCCTGGCTGCTGAGAGCTGTTATCCGACCGCTGTATGTGCTGTGCCATGACAAGCACATACACTAAATAGCTAACAGAATAATTTTAAATGAAATAATTTTAAATAGATAATACATTTAAATAGATAAGAATAATGTGTAATTTTTATTGATACTGGAAATGTTCTATATAAGATAATAGTGCTACAATGAATTTGCAGATGCAAGTCATGCAAAGAGAAACAAAATTGATACAGTGATGATCAAGACCTCACCCTAGCAACCTGTTTAGCTGTGTAAGAACCAAAAGGCAAAGTGGAAAAGCTTGTTGTTCTATTAATTATACAAACAAAACTCATGCTGCAGCAAAGTTGTTTGTGTTGTTTAATGTATTAGTTACTTTTTTCTATTTATATGATAAAACATTATGACCAAAACTACATTCAGAAGTAAGGGCTTATGGTTCTAGACGTATAAGAGTCCATTGGTCACGGAATCATGGCTGGAGGCAGGAGACAGCAGGCACAGCCGAGAGCTCATCAGCCACACACGGGAAGCAGAGACAACACACTGGTAACCATGTGCAGCTTTGAAAGCTCAAAGCCTGCACTCAGTGACCCACTTCCTCCAGCAAGGACACACTTCTTAAGCCACCTAAACAAGACTACCAACTGGGGACCAAGTAATCAAATGCCAGAGTCTTTTTCTGGGGTTGTCAGGCACAAAGGGTACCCTGCCTCACCCCAAAAAAGGGCAGACCCACTGTCTTGTCCAAAGCCCAGCTCAATCTAGACTATAAGAGGATTTCTGGTGCTTAGATAAAAAGCAGAATTCCTCAGGAACTTGAGAAGCCCATTCTCATTTAC